TGGAGAGACTGACTGAGTTATTACATAATCTATGGGGTATTCGATTTCTGCAAGGTTTCATAATATTTCATATTTTCAGCCAAAACTCGCATTACATTTGTGCAAACCAAACTTTCCGGGTGAAAAATATATTGCAGTACATTCTGAAACAAATAATGGTGATCCACTTCATGCAGTAGAAACGCGAATATTGATTCTGTTAAGTCATTTCTGACACACACTTTGCTCAATACATTAGTTACAGCTAATGGGTACCTAAACAAAGTGCACTAATATCATAACACGAGATGCACAGTTTGATAATTACTAGACACACAACAAGACTGGATATATGACCCACTTCCAAGGTTAGACAAGTAACTATTCGAACTGGATAAAGTGAAGTTAGCTCAATGGAAACTTCAAAGAGTCTAATGTTGACGTTCCTGATTATTTGTGCAATCAACGCGAAATGTTTCAAGCGCCAGACTCGAGTTTTTCTCATGTTAAGGCTCATCAGTAGTTCAAATTAACCGGGTTGTTTGGTTTTACGCATAGCTAGCTAGCACTCATGCTTATCAGGTAGGGGTTCCAGATCCCAAAATGAGCTGAAAATTGACGTCTGCAAGTGATTTCAGTCCAAATAGTTCTTTATTGATCATAGCAAAATGGTATTAGCCCCTAACAAAGAAGGGGTCACATCTGTTACCTGATAGTGGTTATTGAAACCACGATGATCGATATCGTGGCACAGTGCGGCGACAAACAGGGAAAGCATCTCCAATCCTGTCAGGAAACCGGAAAGCCGTTCGGACGCGTTGACCAAACAGAGAAACGCGAAATGCCCCACACTGAATGCATGCTGCCAATTGTGATACGTTGGAGTGCGATAGCTTTTACGCACAGTCAGCACAAATCGCATCAAATTCGATTGCGGAATTCGCCACCGTTCCACAAAACCTAATCGTTCAAACATATAAAGGACGGCCTACAATAGAAAACAAAAGGCTTTGGATTGAAGAAACGCAGGGATGTGGTAGTATTACGCACGATCTGAAGATGTTACACATATAAATGATCTTCTAAAACCGCTCCCCGTTAATCTCGCCAGAATCATTTAGGTGGACTGAACGAGAATTACTGATGAGTTTATCATTCAAATGGCCATTTGGTGAAGATGCGAAACTGACGAGGCTAAGAGGGAGCTGACCGCGCATATTCTCACCAAAAACCGATGTGCATCAATGAACAGAATCAAATCTTTCAACTGCTCCTCACCAACAATGAATTTATACGGATAGATAATTTATACATGGAAGTTGTCATGACCTTGAAAAATGTAGCTCAATGTGTTTGAAACTAACAAAGTCTACCGTTGTAATGGTTTTTTGTTTACGTTCACGGGATTATTCTTATCTCAAGTGAGTATCCATGATCTGGTTCCGGGTCCTTCGACTATGAGACTTTGTTTCGTAGTCTATTTGAACACTAATCGTGAACAGTTTATCCAACGATTGTATTGTTTGTTGTATTGTTTCCTTAAGCATAAACATAGACTTATATCACTTATTGGCATCCATACTGCGGTTCAACAAATTACGGAACAGACGGCGTTCATAACCAAGGAATTTGTCCTTAATTGGCTTGTGGGTAAAATAATTCCAGTCAATTTAAAACCATTTTTACAGAAAAGCTTTGCATATCGTTTTTTTCTAGTCTGCTTGTTATAATTCCGGTAGACTGGTGCTGGCTAGACGAACATTGTCTATTACGAACCAGAGTTAGGGTATGAATAAATTGTTGTACGTATAAAAAGATATCTCATTTTGAATATGTCATCACAACTCCCGGCAGCACACAGTATGACGAGTGGAAAAGGCCGTAGTTATCATTTCGAACATAACCATTCAGTCGCATAGGTCTTGTTCATTTTTGATTGTTGAATGAAACCGCCAACGGCATCCCTTTGCGTACTAACCACAAATGTGAGCAGTACCAAACAACAGCTCCTGTATTTCCGACTCAAACACAAGTTGCCAATTACTCCAGGTTTGGATTATTTATACTCATTTACTTTTTTCCTGTGAGTCGATGTATGTATGTTAGTCGTATGAGCAGATGTTATCCGATCGAGCCCCTGCTCATCCCCGAGCTTAGTTGAATAATTTGTTGATTAGGTCAAACAAGAGGTTGATCATTCCAAAAATAATGAACTCAAAACAAGCACAAAACAAGGATGAGGCAGTTCCCCCACCCTATCTATTTCACTCCCTTAGAACAACATATCCAATGATATGACAAGTTGTATCATGGTCACAATCAAGACAGTCACTGTCCGTCTGTGCAGTCCCACCGATATTCTACACAATTGAGTTCGTAAGAACACTGACTGTTCTTTGACCAGTCCAAATAAAGTCGCCCACTTCCCCAAGTGATATAATCAAAGTCGATCATTTTTTTCTCAGTCTGTAAGGAATCCGACCCTAGTGAACGCTACTATACCCATTCAGGTCCTTGGCCAGTGGATCAATATTTTACAAACTCCGAGGTTCCCCCAGACCAGTTATAGTATAATCTTGGCAGCAAGTGCATCCCGTGGTAAGGCATAGAACTGTTAGCAATAAGAAAAGAATAACAATTAGAGTTAGGCAACGGACGATGAGTAGAAGACAGAAGTTTCTGACGTACTGCTCAGAGTTTGTTGAAATGAAAAACAGAGAGAACTGTTGGTTTAAGTTTTGTGATTGGTTGTGATTAGGTTTGTGGGTTGTGTAAGCTACAGTGATCATGGGAATTGGACAATAGCATTTTCGATCTTCATAGCACATACATAAATATACGTTCTAATCATAGAACATGTATGTGCTTTGTTGAAGAGGCTGGTTTCAGTTTTGAATTCGGCTGATGCGGCCCGCCTTCCAGATTGGGGCCCAAGAGAAAAGGACTGCCGTTGGTTAGTGACGCTGAGACATATGACCCAGAATAGAAGTCAACAGAGCGAATGATATGCAGTCTGTGTTTTTGTATTCTGCGCCCCATAAATCAAAACAATAAACTAAAACACAAAAAATATAAAACTTTTTAGGGCAAAACAAACAAAAATGTTATTCTTGTTACAACCAAGCTAGTGATAAAATAATACTTATAATAATGATTGGTATATATGTTCTGGCATGTGAAACAGTCGTTTGAGCGCCGCTCTGATTGTTCGGTTGTTGTAAAGAAAATACACTTCCTGGGTATAAGTATATGAATAGACTGGCGAAAGATTACTGAACACGCATACCTGACGAGCGGCAAGAACCGCGAAATCGGTCGTGTCCTTTCAAGGACATTTTGTCCAGTCATCTACGTACTACTTACTGTAATATATATATATATATATTTCATACTTTTCTGTGGACAGACTGGGAGCCAGGCACATCATGGGTTGAGTAGTCCCTACCCGCAATAATTCGACGAACCAGGCCTACAAACCAAATGAATATATGACTTTGAGGACTACTTCGAACATCTACTGGACGTTCGGGGATAGGTCAGATTCACGCCAACTGTTAGAGAAGATCGATATTTACTAATTGAACGAATTCATGTGCTTCTGTCTTTGTGTATGTCATGGCCCAGATATATAGGTCTCTGTGAAAGAGAGGAGCCCCTCTAAAAGTAGCTCAGTCGTGGAGAACCAAAGAGACCTGAGTTACCAGATAACAAAGTAGTGGTTAAGATGAGATTAGACTCACGGACGAGGAAATTTATGAGAGACCCGGCCTTGCAAATAGTCTACAGCATGTTGTCGATGGAGCATGCATGAAAGACAAACCAGAAAACCAGAGAGCAGAAGTGAAGTTTGGTATATTTCAATACTGTGAAATCAGAGAGACGCGTCAAGGCATGGGTAGTGTTCGGCTGTCATGCTAAACAAAGGGAAACATTGCTGATCAAGAAACTGTGGCAAAAACCAGATTCAACGAATAACTTGGTTTGCTAAGCTTCAGAGTGGATCCGTTTACTATCACTACCGATGTTGAAACCAAGTCAGGATTACCCCGGAAGATTTTAAATGTTTAAGAGTGCTGTGATGGGAAGGTACCAATTGTTCATGTCAGCTAGAGCTTAGCAGATAACCGTTCAATCCTTCGGTGTCATATACTTTTCTAGCGGTTCTTCATTAAGTTTCCCCTGATAATTCGGAACGTTCGCGAAATGTGAAATCAACCTTGCCAAGGAATGGTTTTATGTCAACAATGGTGTGTTCATTATAGACCCCACACAAAGGCGTATAGGTGTAATTAACAACAATAAAGAAGTTCCGAAGAAAGATTCCACTTAACGGGATTGGATCAAAGATGAAGAATGAGTTTTGTAGACCCTACCGGACAATAAACTACGATCAAAAGAACTACTTCATAAATTCCAGTACGGGTGTGTCGGAAGTGTTCTCAAAGTAATATAGAAGGTTACCAAGATCAGTGTACACATGAGCTTTAAGCATTTGTCAGCCGTCCCATTCGATGGAAGATGTTATCCTTTCTGGCCTTTGCACAAATCTTTCGTGTATCCTATTTCCAGTTTTGCTCGTCTGGACAGATATATTCCATGATTTAAATGATATTCGTCAAAAAATGTTTCCTATAAGATCGAAAACAGGTGATACATTCAAATACGTCTATCCAACACCATGCAGCTCCATATTCAAATGAGGTCGTTATCTGTATCACGCGGTTGCATTTTCAAGGGAAAACATGTTACGCTGATTACAAACCAACAGATTATCAACGATTCAAATAAAGCGATATTTCAAAATGTTGCAAGAACCAACCCGGACAGATTCATCCGATCCAAGACCACGAGAAACGAAAGAAAAGTTTTCGAAACCCTCCGGTGGCACAAACTCCGAATCCCGGTCGAGTTCAAAGAACTGGTTCATGTCCCGATCCGAGGCCTGTCAAGCGAAAACTCATTTGCATTGCCGGGTGAAACAACACATAGACGGGCATACGTCATAAAATTTTGTACGGAAAACTTCACAATGGTGAACGTTTGAATGCTGTTACCAATTGGACGACAGTTAGTATTTTACTGCAATCTTCAATTCTCATGTCACGTGCCTGCTACCAAACACGAATTCATCCGAATTTTACCGAAAAGAATTTCTATTTCGTGATTGTGCTTAATTTCACGGATTCTATCAATGAATCTAGGTTGTCTTCAACCGTTTGATATACCCATATAAAACGCATCATCCGAGTTCGTGATAAATTGAATGCAAAAGCGATTATTCAATGAAACAAGGCTTCAATTGATGATATTCTTCACTTTGATGATCGGATCACAATTCTCTAGCATTGACAAAACAGGCAATCGAATTTAATCAAAGTCCATACCTTACTCAACCGGGAATCCAATGAAATTCCTATCCAAAATTCGCGAAAAAGAATCTGGATCTATTATGGAACCACACATCATTACAAATGAATACAATAAACGGAAAGGAGTAGATGAAGTCGAATCGGATCCCATTGGAATTACTCTGCCCGTATTGCCGAGGTACGATGGGGTTCATTGAAGCTGGACTGAGGCTGAGTTTTCACGTTTGCGGTTCGGTTGCCCACAGATCAATTGGAATTTACAATGTAATGTGAAATGGATGCCGCTCACACAGTTCGGGATGAAATTCCTAAATCTCACAGGGTGTTGGGTCAGTGCTGGAATCACTGCGATAATCACAGTGCAATCGAAAAATACCCTCGGTTCTGCGATTTGGGAGCCACTCAGATGGAGGTGTCATGACGAGTCACAAGTGAATGTCATTGAGGCTAGGGTAAAGTACAAGAAGTTTTATTCCAATCGGAGCCCCCGAGCAAGCTTTAAGCTAACAAAGTTTATCGAATGGTGAAAATGGAAGTAGTGAGGAATAAATAACAATGACAAAAAGGGGAGGAAAACGTTTTTCATCGGTAACTCACTTTCATGTGG